CCGCGACAAGGGCCTCGGGCCCATCGCGTCGCCGACGCGCGTCGAGGTCGAGGACGCCGACGGCTTCAACGACGACCTCGGCATCCAGTTCTTCCAGGAGCCGGAGAAGGCGCCGAGCCCGCCGCGCGCGGCCTTCGCCGAGCCGGGCGGCGCGGGAACGCCCGGCCGGCCGCCGAGCGACGCGGAGGACGGCGAGACCAAGGACCCCGCGCCGGCCGCGGCCGGCGGCGCCCGGTCGGCGGAGGCGTCGCCCCTCGACTCCGGCGAGCTCGGCTCCTGGACGTCGCCGACGAACGCCGCGCGGCGCCGGTCGTCCCTCTCGCCCGCGGGCTCCGCCGCGTCGCCGAGCCCGCGCCGCGCGTCCGCGGCGAAGCTCTGGGACGACGCCGTCTGACGCCGCCGCGGGGGGCCTTAATATCATGATGGCGGTCGGCGTGGGCGCAACATGTCCTGCCGGCAGGTTAAACGACGCTATGCGCCCCACGACTCGGGGGAAGCATGCGGGGCCCGGCAGATGAAGCTCAGTGCCGGCGAGGCGGCCTCGCGCGTGGCTTAAAACAGCTCGCGGCAAATTTAGCATTCGGCATCAAGGCGCTCGAGCGCCCACACGGCCATCTTCCAGCCCTGGGCGGCGGAGCGCGCGTACCAGTGCCGCGCTTCGGCCATGCTGTCTTCGACCTCGAACTCATCCCCGCTCAGCTCGAACAGCTCGCCGATGTTGTATTGCGCAGCCGCGTTGCCCCGGTCAGCGGCCATGCGATATAGTTGCATCGATTTCTTCTTGTCCTCCTTGAGGCCGCTTACCGTGCATCCGTGCTCATACAAAAGCCCAAGATTCACCATCGCTTCCACGCTCCCAAGCTCAACGGCGCGCGCGAAAAGTATCGCGGCCTTTTCTTCGTCTTTCACGAGCCCAAAAACACCTCCTTTTTTATACAGTCTCGCCAGTTCTTCGACGGCTTCAGGCACGTCATTCTGCACGTGGCGACGAAGCGAAACGATAGCCCATGGGGAGTATCTGCTGCTAGCCGGCGCTCGACAGATAGGACACGGTTTGTCTTGAATCTTCTCGTGGCACGGATCGCAAACCAGATGGCAGCAGCAATGGACAAAGACGCAAGAAATATTCTCACTGGCATGAGCGTTCCAATCCTCCAAGCAGATCGGACACCGCGACCCATTGCGCGCTGATTCCGGCTTCCGCTCCGGCTCCGCCTCGCGCCGCGCGCGGGCTGCTTCGTGCTCCGCGCGGATGCGCGCGCGCGCCTCGTCCGCGCGCGATCGCTGCTGCTGGCGCGCATCGGCCGCTGCCCGGACCTCGCGAAGAACTTTGCAGATTTTCTTGTGGCCGCGCTCCATCCAAACGATTCGTTGACAGGCCTCGGAGCAGAACAGCTTCGTGTGGCAGGGGCAGGTGAAGCGGGCGGGCGCGCCGCACGCCGCGCAGCCCTTGAACACCTTCTGATAGGCGCGCTCGAGCTTCGAGAGGCGCGCCGCGACCATCAGACTCGTCTTGCGTCCGGTCATCGTGGATGTCGCACCCCGCGGCCGCGGCGGCCCACCCTGTTGCGAGTGGAGGGCGAGTTTGTTCAGGCTATGGACGCGAGTTGCCGGAGCTGCTGCTGAGGTTCGCGACCCAGCCGAGCTCGTGGGGAGTGGCCTAATGATCTCGATGATCCATGCTGGGCTGGAGAGAGTGCCTGACCTGTAAGGTCGACGATGCACTTCATCATCGCGGCAACTTTGGGGCTGCCGCCATCCGTGCCTAAACAATGGACCTCTCCGAGGCGGAACAGATCGGCGCCGCCCTCGGGTTCGAGGGCACGGTGAGCAAGACGGGCTACCTCGTGAAGCGGGCCAAGAAGAGCGGCGCCGCCCGGCGTCCCGCCGCGCGCGCCGCGGCCGCCCGGCGCCCACCCCCCCGCCCCGCGCAGGCGCGAACTGGAAGAAGCGCTACTTCGTGCTCAACGGGAGCTCGCTCGTCTACTACGAGACGCACAAGAAGATGGACGACGCCAAGGGCGACCTCCTCCTCACCGTCGGCTGCGAGGTGAGCGACGTCGACGAGCCCAAGCGCCAGTTCTGCTTCGAGATCTCCACGAACAACGAGGCGCTGCGGCTGTCCGCGACGTCCGAGGCCGAGCGCGACGCGTGGAAGGCGGCCATCGCCGACACCGTGTCCCTGCTCGGCAGCACGTGCCAGTCCTACCTCTCCATCGACGTCCGCGGCGTCTTCGGCACGAAGACGACGCGGAAGTTCTTCGTGCTCCACGGCTCGGCCCTCACGTACCACGCGGACCACCACTCGACCTACAAGAAGCAGGGCGAGTTCAAGCTCCATTCCGGGAGCCGCGTCGAGCCCCGCGGCGACTGCGGCCTCGAGGTCGCGTCCGGCGAGAAGACCATAACGCTCGTCGCCAAGTCCGGCGACGAGCGCGACGCCTGGCTCGCCGGCGTCGAGGCCGCCATCGCCAAGCTCGTCGCGCGCGACGACCTCGCGAGCAAGCGCAGCGGCGAGAACGACGAGCAGGTGCTCCTCGACGGCTACCTCGCGACGCAGCCCCTGAAGGCGCAGCGCGACGACCCGTGGCCGCTCCGGTTCTACGCGCTGACGTCGTCGGCGCTCTACAAGGCCGAGGACAAGTACAGCCTCGAGGCCCTCAACGTCTACCTCATGGAGCCGACGTGCTCCGTCTACCACACGCGGCTCTACGCGAACGCGTTCGAGCTCGTGACGACGCAGGGCGCGCTCCACCTCTACGGGTCGTCCAAGGAGGAGACGGAGGCGTGGATCGACGCGCTCCGCGGCGCCATCGCCAACTCCCGCGGCCTGTCGAGCGACCCGCTGTTGAGCGCGGCGAAGCGGATACCGTTAGAGACCTACGACGTCCACTTCGCGACGAAGCAGAAGCTCAAACTGTGTGGAAATCAAATCTTCAACCCGACTTCAATGTGCGCATAATTGAACGGATTGCGCCGTACTCTTTGGCTGTGCTTCGAGAACTCGATGAGAGCAATCGATTCGTCCAAAAATCAACCGAATCGACTTCGATTTGATCGAGATAGAGAGTTCTGAAGTTTGGTGGGGACCCCCCAAACCAGTGGTTGATTTCCACACAGGCTCAACATCGTCCTCGAGCGCGCGGCCGAGTGGGCCGTCGTCAAGCACGTCCGCGCGCCGGCGGCCGGCGGCTCGCCGTCCGCCGCCGTCACGGAGGGCTCCGCGCTCGTCGCCGTCGACGGCGACTCGACGATGATCGCGCCCTACCAGGACACGATCAAGCGCCTCACGGGCTGGCAGCCGCCGCTCACGCTCACCTTCGCGCGCGCGCCCGTCCTCTCCGGCTGGCTCCACAAGCAGGCCCGGGGCCGCAGCGCGCGGACCGGCGGCGCGTCCGGCGCGAAGAACAACTGGAAGGAGCGCTACTTCGTGCTCAAGGAGTCGAAGCTGTCCTACTACACGTCGAAAGACGACGAGGAGTCGCTCAAGGACCGCATCCACCTCATGGGCTCCGTCGTGTCCCTCGTGCCCAACCAGGAGAGCGGCCGCCACTTCACGTTCCGCGTCGTCTCCGGCTGCGCCGTCCTCGTCATGCAGGCGACGACGGTGCAGGACATGCTCCTCTGGGCGACGACGCTCTACCACGGCATCGCCGTCGCGAACGGCGGCGGCTACCTCCTCGAGGCCGAGCGGCTCCGCGCGGCCGAGGCCGCCGAGGCGCGGCGGAAGCGCGACGAGCTCGAGGCCGCGCGCCTCGAGGCCGAGGCCCAGGCCGCGGCCGAGGCGGCCGCGCGGCGCGCCGAGGCCGAGGCGCGCGAGGCCCGGGAGCGGGCCGAGGCCGAGGCCGCGGCGCGCGCCGAGGCCGCGGCGCGCGCCGAGGCCGAGGCGACGCGCGCGGCGCTCGAGGCCGAGCGCCTCGCGGCCGAGGGCGAGGCCGACGCGGCGGCGCGCGCCGAGGCCGAGCGCGCGCGCGCCGAGGCCGAGGCCGCGCGCGCGCGCGCCGAGGCCGACGCGGCCGCCGCCGCGGCCGCGAGGCGCGACGAGGCCGCGCGCGCCGCGGCGCTCGCGGAGGCCGAGCGCTCGCGGGCCGAGGAGGCCGCGGCGCGGGCCGAGACCGACGCGGCGCTCGAGCGCGCGGCCGTCGAGGCCGCGGAGGCCGAGCTGAAGAGCGACCGCGCGTCGTCCGCGCCGCCGCCGCCCGCGGCCGAGGCGCCCGCGGCCATGGCCCTGCCGGCGCCGCCGGACGCCGCGGCGCCCGCGGCGCCCGCCGCGCCGCCGGACGACGCCGCGGCCGGCGACGACGGCGACGACGACGACGACGGCGGCGCCGCGGCGGCCGCGGACGCCGACGAGGTCGACCTCACGGCGCCCCTCGAGGAGGGCGAGCTCGACGCCGTCTTCCACGTCGTCCACGCGGACAAGGGCTTCCTCAACACCATGCAGTTCATCGCGCTGCTCCGCGCCATCGGCGCGTCGGCGGACGGCAACCTCAAGTTCGAGCTCGACCTCTTCCACGAGTTCGACGTCGAGGGCTCCGGCAAGCTCGAGAAGGCCGAGTTCACGCGCGGCTTCCAGAAGTACGTCGCGCGCCACGGCGTCGACAGCCCCCACGTCGCCGACATCATCCGCGGCGTCCGCCACTACAAGAAGCGCGGCACCGTCGAGCTCTGAGGGGCGCCCCCCCCTCCCCCGGGTGTGATTTTCTTTCTACAGCTCCTCGGACGGCGCCTCCTCCTTCTGCGGGAACGTGTAGGAGAGGAACGCGGTCCAGACGACGGACGTCGCGAGGACGACGTTGAGCTGGTGGCGCACGGGCGCGAAGCGGAAGTTGAGGTACTGGACGGGGATCCAGAAGGACCACTGCGCGACCATGGTCGGCCAGAGCCGGTCGCGGACGCGGTCGCACGCGGCGCTCGTCGTTTCGCCCTCCATCGTCGCCATGGCGAAGTGGTAGAGCGCGTTCGAGAAGTAGCCCCAGTAGACGAACTGCTCCATGACGAGCTTGACGAGGGGCACGCGGCCGCTCGGCACCTTGAGCCGCTGCACGAAGGACTCGAGGAACTCGTAGTGCACGTGCGCGATCGGCGCGTGGATGACGCACCCGAAGGTCACGGCCCGCGCGAGCCGCGGCGCGTCGACCGCGTCGTCGCCCTTGCGCGTCGCGGACTGGGCGACGACGTCGCCGAGGCCCCAGAGGCACGCGCCCGTGGCCTACACAGGGGGGCAGCGGTCGCGGTCGGCGCCGGCGGCGAGGCGGCGGCGCGCGCGCGCGCGCCGCGCCGGCTCGACGGGAAACGGAGCCGCGGCCGGCTCCGCGGGCGCGCGCGCGGCGGCGGGTCGCGCGCGGCGCCTCGGACGCCGGCGGCGCGCCATCTTCGTCGGCACGGGCCAGCCGACGAGGCACGTCTCGTAGCGCGCCGCGAGGCGCGCGGGCAGGGATGCCATGACCGGCTGGCTGCTTTTTTGCTGTCGGCCGCGGCGGCGCGGCGCGCAACGGCGACCCGCGCGCGGTCGGGGATCTGTGGTCGCGCTCCTGGCGGTGCGACCGGTGCAGCGCGCGGCGCGGGCGGTGGCTCGGTCGTGCGGCGCGGAACGGCAATTTAGGTAGCGGCGGCGAGGCGCGGCAGCAGCTGTGGAACACACAAACTAAAGGCAACACGCGGAACGGAAATGCAACATCATGCGCGACGCGCGGCTGTTCGAAACCTCGCTCGGCCTGCGCAAACCGGCGGCGACCCAGCGCCGACCGAAAGAGACCGCGAGCGGCCGGACTCGGCGGCGCCGCGCCTGAAGAAGCTTGCCGTCTACTACAAAACTTACTGCGCGGGCGGCGCGGGCGCGGGCGCGGGCTCGGGGAGCTTGAGGCGCTTCCGGAGGTAGGCGTCGAGGCTCGCGACGGAGAGGCACTTGCGGAACGTGTTCCGCTGGAGCGTCTCCGCGTGGGCCCGGTTGCCCTCGAGGAGGCGCTTCGCGTGCGCCTTGACGACGTCGACGTTGGCCCACCAGTTCGAGTAGCGCGGCGCGCCGCGCGAGGCCGCGCGCGTCACGGCGCCGTCCTTGCCCCGGGTCGAGCCGTCGTCGCGGGGGACGCCGCGCCGCTCGAGGTCGAGCAGGAGGTCGAGGTACTCGCCGAGGAGCGCCTCGGGCCGCCGGGGCGACGGGGCGAAGAGCGACGGGTCGCGGAGGAGCTGCTCCGCGACCATGACGCCCGCGGCGCCCGTCGCCGCGAGGTTCGCGGCGACGTCCGCCGAGGAGCGCACGTTGCCGTTCGAGAGCACGGGCACGCCCAAACCCGCGTCGACGAGCCGCCGGACGACGGCGAGGTCCGCGGCGCCGTCGCGCCGCGCGTCGACGCGGCCCCGCGTCCGCGCGTGGAGAGCCACGAGCCGCGCGCCCGCCGCGACGAGCTCGCGCGCGAACGCCTGGGCAGCAAAAGGGTGATTCAACGTCGCTTCAACGTGAGTGTTCCGCGCGCGCGCGTTCCGGAAAAAGCATCCACGCTTCGAGACCGTTCCGAGAGATGATCGCTCGTCCAAGAATTAGCCAAAACGAGTGGAAAATGGCCGAGATATGAGCCTTTGAAGTTGGGAATTTCGCTCTCTTTTGCTGCCCTGGCGAACGCCACGGTCCGCTCCGGCGACGGCGCCGCGCCCGCCGCGTCGTACTGGACGCGCAGCTTCACGGTCACCGCGAAGGTCTCGGGCACGGCCGCGGCGGCCGCGGCGACCATGGCGCGGCACAGCGCCCAGTCCTCCTGGAGCCACGCGCCGTAGCGGCCCTCCTTCGCGCGGAGCTGCGGGCAGCCGAGGTTGAGGTCCGCGCCGTCGGCGCCGAGCGCGCGCGCGCGCGCGCAGGCCGCCGCGAACGCCGCCGGCTCGTTCGCGCAGAACTGGACGACGAGCGGCCGGTCCCCGGCGTCCACGCCGCCGCCGAGCGCGTCGCGCGCGTACGCGTCGTCGCGCGCGAACCGCGCCGCCTCGAGCATCTCCGTGTAGACGAGGGTCGCGCCGTGGCGCCGGCAGAGCGACCGGAACGGCCCGTCGCACTGGCCGACCATGGGCGCCACGCAGCGGATCGGGTAGCGCAGGCGCAGGGCCGACGTGATGCGCACGTCCGCGCCGTCCAGCGCGGCCATCGGCGAGAGCGAGGCGCTCGAGAGCTAGGCGCGTGCGAGAGCTGTGCGCTTGGAACTATGCACAGCGTGCGAGAGCTAGGCGCTTGGAGCTACACGAGAGGCAGGCGCCGCGGTCTCCATGCTCGCCCAGTGCTCGATCAGGTGCAACAATCAGGGAGGTTTACCCTGGCAGCGCGCAACTTGTGACGGCAGCCCACGTCGCCTGGTTGTTCGCGTCCCGAACATCGTGGGCAACGCGCGCTCTGTGTTCGCACGGAGGCGAGCCGCTGCAACCGTCCCGACCGGGGCTGCTCCATCCATCGTGGGCAACGCGAGACAACATTCCACATGCGCCTCCAGCCCTTCGTCGAGCCCTTCGCGCTCCGGGCCCCGGACCGCCGCGGTCGGCTCCTGCGCCTCTTCGGCGTCGAGCGGCAGCACCTCGACTGGCGCATCTGCGCGGAGGCCGGGCGCGTCTGGCGCCGCGAGGCCGCGCCGGTCCTGTCGCCCGGCCGGGGCCTCTACGCGGCCGGCGACGTCGCCGCGGGCAGAGGCGTCGCGCTCTACCCCGGCGCGCACCTGCCCGGCGGCCGCGCGGGCCTGGACCTGGACACGCACGACGGCGCGCCCGCCGGCGCGCTCGACGCGTCGGCCGCGGAGTCGTCCGACCCGTCGCGCGCGGCCCACCTCGCGCGAGCGCCCCGCGGGGGCGCGGCGCCGAACGTCGCCGCCGCGGCCTTCCGCTGGCGCGACGTCTTCCTCGGCGACGACGAGGCGCCGTGGGGATCCTCAGAGT